GCCTTTATCGATAAATTAGACACTTATGCTGAGGAATACGACTTGGAAGAATCCCAAGACTTCCTGACTTACCCCATCATCCACGACCAAGCACATGAACTCACTCAACAATTAGAGGGTTTCTGTGGTTGTGAAAACCGGGCTCGCAACCAATACTTAAATAACTGACAACTGAATTACCGCTATGTATAGAACCGATCGTAATAATTACCATCAAAAACCTAAATCCTCTACTATTTACACTCCCCCCGCAGTAAGTCAGTTCATTTTTGATTTACTGAAAGATAAGATAGAAAACCTAGGAATTATTTTAGATCCTTGTTGTGGTAAAAGAAGTTTACTAAAACCCTGAGAGAAATTTTACCATTTGTTTGGTTATGGGGTTCGTGGTACTTATGGCATCGACCTTGAGGAAAGCAGTGAAGCTAATTTAGTAACTAATTTTTTTACTTTAACCAAGCCAAGATTTGAACTTGATTGTTTTAATAGTTGTAAAGTTAAAAAACAAGTCATTCTTATTCTCTGCAATCCTCCTTTTAACGGTTACGGTAAGCAATTAGGCAGTGAAGTCTGATTAGAAAAGATTTTGGAACTGTTTGGCAAAGATATTCCCCTCGCCCTCTTTGCCCCAGTCGGATTTCGGTTAAATTTGACAACCAAAAGTCAGCGATGGCAGAAATCTATCCAAGGAACTTATCCACCAATCAGTAGCATTATCAGTTTACCCAAGAATATTTTTGAAGGAGTTATTTTTCATTCTGAGATTTTAATTTTCAATGTAAAGGGACTAAAAGGCCATTATTTTTTTAACCCAACTAGTAAAATCGAACAGAGAACCCCAATTTAAGTTAGAGACACTAACTGTGGAATTTTTAATCATTGAGTTCCATGGAATCATTTGAGCCAAGTAAGAGCGAAATAATTTTCGCGTTCTCTGCTTCCCTTAGCACTTACTTGGTGCTTCCGCCTAAATTGGTAAGCTAAGGGAACTAATCTGGTGCGGAGTCCATGCCGCACCACCTAATTTCTATATTTATGTTCATCATCATTTTACTCACCCTCTTGTTAGGTATCATTTACGGAATTTTACTCTTCGCCCTCATTTTACTTTATCAGTTCCAAATCAAATGTCCTAGTTGTCAACAATTAAGACCTTTACGAGAGATAATTTTTTTCTACTGAAAGCCCAGAATTATCACCACTCAACCTTGCCCAAGGTGCCAAGCCACTAAAACTAAATCTCAACTCGAAATATTTTAAAACATGCCCCCAGAACTCCAAATTAAAGCCCAAATCACAGAGATTGAATCCAAAACCGATAAAAATGGCAATCCTTATGTTCGGCTGACCCTCCACGGACTAGCTAACCGTTATTTTTATGCCTTTAGTAATAGTTTAAAAGTAGAAATTTTTCAAACTCTTACTACTACTCCTTACAATTTTATTAACCGGCAAGTCTTGATCACTTACCAGGAACTTCCTAATCAAGATAACCAAGGAACTTTTAGTAAAGTTAAGTACCTAGAAATTTTATAAATACAATATGTTTAGAGATCCAGAAAATTTACAATTACTCCAAAAATTAGAACAAAAAATAGAATCTAAAGAAATT